GCGGAGTGGTGGCACTCATGGTTTCGAGTGATCCCAAATAAAGGGATTCGCAGTCAAACATACCTCGAGGCTGAGGAAGAGAGAAAATATATTGAAAAGATCAAGAAATCCCGGGAAAAGGGCAAATTCAGAGCTATTGCAGATTCCACAGGAGACTCTGACGAGTTGCCATGGTCGGACAGACTACGATCTGCGAAGAGCCTTATGAAACATGCTTTGTTACGATCGGGCTCGGCTGATTCCTGTGCACTTCTATTCACTGCACTGTGTCGTGCCATGGGGATCCCTGCCCGATTGGTCGTAAGCCTTCAAGCCGTACCTTGGAGTAGCAAGTCGGAGAAATTAAACTCTTCGGGACTACCTTTGCCAGAATACTTGACTGATACATCCGACGCAGACGCTGAAAAGCCCAAGAAAGGTAAAGGTAATTCTGTGAATTTGCGAAGAAGCCGACCGAGAGATCGAAAACCTCGTGTGGTTATGCCACGTTCATCGAGTATTGAGCCACCATTAGAGGGATGGCCCCCAGTAGTCTGGACCGAAGTTTTCTCTCGATCCGAAGGTCGCTGGATACCGATTGATTCAGTACGCTATCTAGTGGACAAAAAGAAAATGTTTGAACCGCCCTCTAATTGCCGCATCAATCGTATGATGTATGTCGTCGCTTTTGAGGAGGGTGAGGGTTTACTCTATTTGTCCATGAGATAAGCTGGAAATATCATAGATGGTTATGCTCGGGATGTCACTTTGCGCTATGCACATCAATTTGGTGCTAAGACAGCCAAGGCAAGAGCCTCAACGAGAAGGGGTCACTCTGACTGGTGGCAAAGAGTAATCAATATTTTGGCTCGCCCATATCGTTTGGTGAGTCCTCCGTCATCAATGAGGATATTTAAATAATAATAATAATATATATATATATAGCATCGAGATGACGTGGAGGATGCTGAACTTCAATCCCTTCAATACGTGGAAGGTATGCCCACCTCTATCGGGGGCTTCAAGGACCATCCGATGTCAGTTATCGGCTCTTCGAAGACCATAAGAGCTCACCACTTTATTCGATAGCTATGCCTTAGAAAGACACTTACGCCGGGATGAAACCATTTACCCTTTGCAAGAAATTGGGAAATTTCGCGGAGAGCCTGTTTATCCTCGATCAAGTGTTCAACAATTAAGGAGTGCGGAGACATGGCTACGTGAAGG